TGATGATGATGATGGAGGTGATGATGGTGATGATGATGATGGAGATTATGATGATGGAGACGTTGATGATGGTGATGGATGATGATGGTGATATGATATATAATGCATAACAATGTAAATGATAACCAAGATGATGATGCATATGATGATGTTGATGATGGTAATGATATCAAGTACTCGACACATCTTTCAACTTTTTTCAACAAAACTAACCTGGTGGCAACTCATTCTTTACTCGAGAAATCAAATCTAGTTCGTCTGAGCTACTCTGATCTTCCGTGGAACTCTGTAACACAAAAACCCTGTTTATTCATACTTATCGTCAATAGAGCCTTTGCACCATCACGTGACGGCAGCAATGTTAGATGGAAGGAACAATACAATCGTTTTACATGAGAAAGAATTCAATTTTCAAGAGCAAAGGGATCTTATGGTTCTGCCATCTAACCACAAGCAGTCCAAGCTGCTTTATGGGCGCCGGCACGCGATTGTACAAAGACTCAAGCGGCAATTCTTGCGTGAGGGACACTTGAAAATGACAATATCATGGCAATATTTATCTTACCTTTGTCGTAGATTCCTCTTCACGATGTAATTTCTCATTCTTTTCTGCACCAGAAGTCGTTTCCTGACCCTTTTTGCTTTCCTTCTCTCTCTTCAACCACGTTTCTTTGTCATCTTGCATCCTTTCTACTTTTTTCTTACTTTCCTTTGCATCTACCGGCCTTTCTTCTTTGTCCTTCTTCACAGAAACCTCTTCTTTTGTCATGTCTTTTCGCGAGTCCTTTTTGGTATTTTCAAGACCCGTGTTTTCCTCTTGCTTTGCTTCCTTACCAATGGCATGTGTCTCACTAACACTTTCCTTGCATCCAGCTGTGATATTATTATCTTTGATAGCTCCATCGCTTGACTTTTCCACCGCTGTTGTATTCTCAACTTTTTCATCCTTCATTTCAAAATCTTTCGTATCAATCAGTTCCTTTTCAGGTTTGTTAGATTGACTGTCTTCCTCTAACATTTCATCTTGGTTTTCTTTCTTTGTCTGTTCAGTGTCTGTGTCATCTTGATAATCATCATGATCTTCTTCCTCGTCGGCCATGTCTTCATCGTCATCGTCGTCGGCTTCTTCATAGCTCCGCTAGAAAACATAGACCATTTTCAAATTCGTTTGTTATTCATTATGAATATCATGACGAAAATGATGATGATGATGGCGATGAATATTATTTTAGCATATAGATAGAGTTTTCCCATTTCATACCACGTGTCAATTTCTTCAGAAATTTTTTTCATTATTTGAATTTTATCCTTATTTATGTGGCTTCTTATGCGCAATCGTTAGACAAAGAAATGATACTCTAGGGAATGACACGTGGTGTGAAATGGGAAAACATTACACCACAAAGAAATGATACTCTAGGGAATGACACGTGGTTTGAAATGGGAAAACATGACGCCATTGTTTTACTTACATCACGTTTGGCTGCTTTGCGCTTTGGCGTTTTCAGAACAAAGTCAGGATCCGTGACGGACGAAGATCGTCTTTTCTTGCCTTTAGCAGGGCTCTTTTTCTTCTTTTGTTTGGTGGTAGTTTTGGAAGATGTTGGCGGAGCTTCGTCTTCAGTTGCTTCTACGTCACTCACTGAGTCTGTCTTGGACGACTAACAAAAGCAGGAAAGATTGAAAGATTGTCAATGAAAACAAAAAGGAAGCAAGGAAGCAAGGAAGCAAGGAAGCAAGGAAGCAAGGAAGCAAGGAAGCAAGGAAGCAAGGAA